CCTGAAAATTAATAAAAGTTCAGTAATGATCTCTAAAAAAATTTTGAGGTATTACTCATTAAAGTCGAGAAACTGTAAATGCACCAAATAAAAATCCAATCACCCATGTATTTCATTTTCTTTGAATTGTTTTAGCCCTTTCCCTAATTTGTACTTTCCGATGCCTACGTCTTCGAACGGCCACTACAATCAAAAAAAATTTTTGAAGCATTTTTTCTGCAAACTATGTTAAGTTTTTAAACAGAACCAGGTAATGCAAAAATACTGCTTCTATGTTCATGAAGGTTTAAAGAACCCATCTGAAATAATAAAGTGTTGAAAGAGCCAACTTCACATGAAAGCCCTCTGCAGCCGTTAACTCCAAAGCTGCAAAATTTCCACCCTATATGTGGCACAACTAGTCATAAACTTCGATATTTCCAAAGCTAAAACAGAGAAAGTGTCGTGGCAGAAAAATCTTATGAAAAACAATTATCTTATACCATTCAAACCCCGAAACAAGTTGCTAACTTCTAAAACACTCTTGAAAACCAAAAAAAAACATTTCGAAAAAAAGATAACAGGACTTATGTATTACTCATCCTAATCTGCTTATAATAAAAAGCATTGCCAATGATACTGAGCAAATAAGTAACCGACGCAGTGCATTCTTCTCTAATAACCGCAGGTATTTCTGATAATTCAGCAACATTGCTTGTTCATAGGTATACAACTTTCTTGTTTCCTTCTTAAGCTTCTGAGTCAACTCAGCTTCTGTCCGATTCCTCAAAAAAAGAAAATGGTTAAAAGAATTCATACAATAAGAGATCCTGAAAAGTATAACTTCATTCTTAATTCAATCAATTACAGGTGTCAATAACAGGCTTAAAAAGTTCCAATTTAATTATACGATTGAGAAAAAAAAATAAGGAAAACTTTGCATAGAAAACTGAACATAACATTCTACTGTAAGGAAGAATCACTCGACAACCCTGAAACCGCGACCTTTTTAAAAAGCCGTTAGTACAGTTGACCAACAGTCGTCAAAAACAATTCTTAAAGATGATTTTAAAAGAGAATTAGCTCCGAGACTAAAAAATAAAGATAACTAAAGTAGGTGCTGCCAAACAATAAAATGTGCTTATATTTTGTTATCAAGCTTACCTTATAGTGTAGCCTGGTATAATGTCGATATAAACTTGAGCTGTAGAAGCTAAAGCCAGTTTTTCAGCTGTCTCACGTATTAGTGGATGTACGTCCCCACCCTTACAAAAGTTTAGTAATTCCTTAAGCCTACCGAACTGAAATGAAAAGTAGATGAGGTTATCCTGAAACATTTTTTTCACTGAAGAAATCCCATTAAACCAAGGATCAACACAGTGACCTCTTCTTGCGGCCCAGCTACTATGGCACAAGCATGAAAACTTAACGCTTCCTTGAAACTTTCGAGGAGTTCCTTCCGCTTCTGTAGCAATTCTACAGCATTCAGACCTTCAGTACCTTCCACCATCTCAAGGCTACCTGATGGTACTACGAAAGCGTCGTCTAAATACCAATCTTTTATTTTAAAGAGAAGCTGGTTGGTTTAAATGCATTGCAAAATGCAAAATAAGTTGTCTATTTAAAACCCTTTAAATTCTAATAGAACCTTACCGTCGGGTAGATCCTCTTCTTCTTTAATTTGTCTCTTAACAACTTTTCCTTTAATTTTAACTGGCAGCAATTCATGGAATTCTCGTCTTCTTTTTGAAATCCGAGTCACTGCATTGCGTTCATATTTGTCCAAATCATTCTCCCCATCTAAAAGTAAGACTGAATGTTTAATACAATACCACAGTGGTCATCACAATTAAAAGGACTGAGTTCCGGTAAAATATGAACAGAGAACTAATTTACTTTAGAAGAACGTACAAAATAATAACAAACCACTGTGACTCTCCATTAATCCAGTAGCAAAAGCACTTTGCTCCCAATCAAGATCATCATCCATCATGTCGGTAGGTAATAAATCAGCATCTAGATCTTCTTCATTTCTCTGTTTTTCCCATTCGAGGTTTATCTAGAACATAATAGTTAAAAAACTATAACAAGAAGAAAAGGTAGTTTTATCAGTCTTGAAGGAAAAATCACTGACGTCTTTGACCAATAATAATCCAATAACTCTTGCATTAAAATATTTATTTAAGTAAACACCATACTTTCGTAAACTTCTTCTGATTTTTGATATTCTTCTTCCTCTTTATCTCGTTAACAGCATCAATGACATGCCTCTTCAGTTTCTTTTTCGCACGAAGGTGGCTTAATTTCTTCGCTGCCTTTACTGCTCGTTTTCTCCTCGCTTTGTCAAGCATTATTCACAAATACTTCAAGAAACAGTTAAAATATTCTAAAAAACGTCCATGAGTAGCACCTCAGTAATTAAGGTGATCCAAAAATCTAAATTTTTAATTGCAAAAAACTGACGACAGCGCAGTAATGAGTTATACAAGTATTTAAACATACAGGTTATATTTGAACATTTTATCTTTGATAGATTACCGACATTTTACAGATACCGAGTTCAGATAATTTGGCGCTTTTAAATTGGTCCACTATTCTTGGCAAAAATCCACAAACAGAAGTTCAGCACTTACACTGTTTGAAGATTAATATGATGTCTTATGTCACTATTCGAAGACCCCAAGTTTTGCGTGCGATCTGTACCACCGGTTTGATAGTACCGAAAGTGAAAGTTATCTAATTTTTTGATGTTCCTTACGCCGTACAATTTACAAATTTCATACTTGCTTATGTTACTGAAACTGTAAGGGAAAAAATGAGAAGTTTCTGCTTAGGTGTTGGTCGTAAAACATTTGTAGTCTTCCCATTGTTCCCCCTTCCTTTTTTCTGAACGACTTTTGTAGTTACATGTGTTTTTAATCAATTTTTTGATCCCGTAAGAGTTATTTTTAAACCTGCACTTTAATATCGACTTTCACAGTTTCCAACTGTTAATACAAAGCCATACTGGCAGCTATATTTGAGATCCTCATGGGGCCGGCAGGTTTCTTCTCAAATACAGTACTCTTATATTATTCCTCTTTGAAATAACGCAATAAGCATCGGCTTTGTGGACTTAGATGACGCCACAGCTCAAGTCGTACTTTCTGCTAAGGAAGCAATAAGTTCAGAGACACTTTGGGATTAGTGCATCAAAACCGGCATATCTGTCTTCATTCGACTAATTCCTCACGGAAAACCGAAGAAACCTGTGAAAAATAATGAAGTGACAGAATAAACTCTTAAATTAACTTCAAGTAGGTGCAGCAAAAAGCTTAACTTCATGGAAATTATAATTTTCTGAAAGTAACCTAAGATTTTCAAAATTATAATAGGACATTCATTTTTTTTCTGGCATATAATTTGCACCGAGGTTATTTGCTGTCGTTTATTCACGGATAATGGGAGAGTAAGTTGGAACAGTTCTAAATCAACCCTACTCTTTGTTACACTGTTGAGTTTTTCCGCATAAATCAGTATTACGTGCTTGCAGCGGCAATATGATGGTCAATGAAATTGGATAAAAAGCAATAAAAAGTCATTGCTGGAATGAATACTCATCTCATATGCCGGCCATCTTTTCAGATAGCTTCACTGTGATCTTGCACGGCGGTCCAAAAAGTTTTTTTGAACACAGGCGTGGCATCTTAGTTGCTTAGATTTTGTTGTGCAGACCAAAAAATAATCAGAAAGTACTAAGTGTATGAATAATGGGTTTTTTTACAGAATAAACTCAAATCTCCCAAGTACCAGAACGTTAGAAAGGTAAAATGAAGCGTTTTTTGTTGCGTGCTTCCTTCATGCAGCTAGACAACGCCATTTTTAAACTCATTTGACGCTTAAAATTAATTAATGCTACTTGGGTCGGGAAAAAAACTACATGAAATAAATGGACAGCTTGGGCGTGCCCTCTACAACAGGTCGAGAAACAAACGGAGGTACGAGCGCAAAAAGTGTAGAGGACAAAGATGGGTAATTGAACTAGAGGTTTATGAAGTTAAAAGGAAGCAGATGCATTTGATCAGTGTCAATCAGCAAAAAGCTGTAATTTTAAAAGTGATGAAATAAAGGGAGTGACATCGAAACAGGATGTTGGAACCCATTAAGGCAATAATTTAGGTGTTGGCCAGGAACCTTCAAGATGAGCTGAAGGAGCTTCGAGAATGGGAAGGTCAAGATCATCCAGACAGTCAAGGAATAAGAGAAAAATTAATTGAATTTAAAGGAATTTTAAAGAGAATGACCGAGAACACAGAAAAGGAAAACGAGAATTGAACGAAATTATTAGTTAATATAAGAGGAGACCGATTAAGCCAGGAAAATGATGAGTATAGAAGATTTGTAAGTGAAACGGCTTTTTTACAATTAGTAGTAGAAGGTAAAAGGGTGATAGTAAAAATAAACGCTCAAATGGAAGAACAAGATCATATGGATTCGAATGAACGGTTGAGAGCAAGCCGCAGACAACCAGAAGTATACCCGACCAGACCAAAACTTCCTGATATTCAGCTACCTAAGTTCGATGGGAATCCAATGAAGTGGCTCAATTTCTGGGATTACTTTCATACAGTTATACACGAAAATCCTGGTATACCTGTCATCGATAAGTTTCATTATCTGATATCACTTTCGGAAGGTAAAGCCAAAATGGCCGTCGAATACTTACCAAGACATGAAGATATGTATTTGAAGGCCTTAGATATTCTGGAAAGGAGATTCGGTGGGAGAAAGTTAAGACATCAAGCGCTCTATCAAAGATTAAGAAGCTTACCACCAGTAGGTGAAAAGGTTAGTTTGAGATTTGTTGTTGAAGAAGTGGATCATGTTATTCAGCAGACACGGAATCTAAAAGGCACGGTCGATGAGGTAGCAGTAATGACAATCTTTCAAGAAAAACTACCAAAAAAAAATCGGTTTTGAACTCTCACGACTCGAGCTAGAAAGGATGGATGCGTGGAATACAGATATGATGTTACACGAATTATACTGTATACTCGAGGCCAGGGAGAGAGTAAAGTACTACACTTCTGCTAGTTTTCGCAGATCGGGATATCAAAGGGATTTTAAAGCGCTTAGACCTCAACCAGCGTATGCCGTTATGGAAGAACGTGATAGGCGTCCTAGACAGCTCTGTGCTTTTGCCGAGGTGAACATTTCAATAGCAATTGTAATGTTTAAAAAACGTTAGAACAGAGAAAAAGAAGGGCGTACGAGTTAGGATCATGTATTCAATGCTTAAAAACGGGTCATCGATTTAAAGATTGTAAGATACTTAAGACCTGCTATTATTGTAAGAAGGACTATAACGACGCCTTCTGTAAACGATTCGGCAATCAAAAAACCTTCCCTAAACATCAAATGGTGACGCTACCAGAGACTTCCAAAAAAGAAGCTAGCACACAAGTTACAACAGTAGAGACTGAGAATATTTTAAGTAAAGATTTGTCAAAAGTGATATTGCCAGTTACTAAGGTGAAGGTAAGCAATCCATCATATGAAGCAGTAAACACGGAAGCATGCGCTTTGTTGGATAGTGGGAGTCAAAGATCGTTTGTCACGGATAGGTTGGCAAAACAACTCGATATTGGAAACCAGAAGCGGTAGCACAACGGCTTTGACCGCTGTCGCTTCATCACAACGCTCTAACCATACGAGCTTTTTAAAATATATATAATTATGTGTATATAAATGAGTACAGGAGTTGCGGCAGCGGCCTTGCTGTTCCTTTCCCTTTGATGCTCTCCCCTCTCTTTCCTGCTGTCCGCTCTTTCCTACTCAAAAACATCTACCCAGTCAAAGCGCTTGAAGCGTTCATGTGCAAGAGGTCTCAAATGAGTTTCAAGACATCAAGTTTTTTATGATCTTAAAACTGCAATTCGTCTCTGTTTGAGGCAGTTATATTCACTTTTTATTTATATATCATAAGGCAATATTCAATTAAAAAAAGTAACAGGAAATGTCGAATCTGACTATTTAACATCAATTTAAGTAATGAAGGAATTTTAGTAACAAAAGTTGATAATTGCATTTTGTAAACTAAGTAACTGACTCAACGTACAGAAGCCAGTGTGCGTTTTGAATCTCCTCATAGTGAGTCTTCTAGCTTCTAATTTTCAATTTTTTCAGTCCTTTTAACTGTTAACCAACTCTTGATTTTTTTAAACATATATTAACATCCTGCTATATGATTAAGGCACGAAAAAGTAGATGGGCGCTAGTTTTTCTTCCTTAGTTATGGGAACAGCCAGGATGGCTAAGCACCGTTAGATAGTAAATCTGAATTTACGATATTCTAATCAACGAAGGCACTCAAAACAATAGCAGATACTTATTTCATTAGATGTAAACCCGTTAATAGTGAAATTATAATACTCTTCGAAAAACGGTCTTTTAAGACTGCGAGCTCTCGGAACTCTCCCTCAATTCATTGTGTCGTTTAAACCACTCAGTTAAAGCGTTGAAATTGCGATCCATCCACAACTAAAATAATCATATTTTAACTCTCAACTTTTCTTTTTTTACTTTCTTAATTAGAAGCTTCTAATGAAGTAGATTAGGCAGCTATAAATTGGTTTGGAAACACGATTAACTGCATTCCAACACCACTTACTTTATTAGTTCGAGATGCTTCCAATTTTATGTTGAATATATCCAGTTTCTTTGCATGGCTCTTGTGTTTTTTAATAAAAGCTTCCAACTAAAAAGATTAAATTTTTAACTTTTAAGTCTGTATATAGCATTCTAGCTAACTGATTTTCAAGATTTAAAATTTAGACCTCTATGTGTGACGATATAATTTTAAAGCTTAGACACACAAAAGACTTATGTTGGACACTCCACAAAACGCATAACTTTGGCGGCAGTTAGCGAAAAAACAGTGTAGGCAAAAAGCAAATTTGAAATATGTTCTTTGTTTAACATTTAGTAGTAGTTTTGCCGAGTACCTCAGCAATTTTACGCTCATTCCTCAAATCCAGTGACGCTGAGATGATACGCCTCAATAGAGTTTGCTGGTCTTTCATACTGAAAAAGCATGTTTTAAAATTAAACCGCTAAATAAGTGTCCAGAAACGAATGATAATAGACAATAAGAAGCAGATAGAACGAACTCGTTGTACAGCCTAAGCCAGTTGTCCTGGAAATAGTCGAAGATGATTTTATCACCAACAGTACCGACAGCTACGTTCGAAAACACACTAGGTGCATCTTGTAATCTAACAGTAGTGTCATTCAGGTTTGAAGCGAATTCCATAAGTCTGAAAATTAGCTATTGTGAAAACTTGTTGTTTAATCCTCAACTTGTTATTTATTTCGCAGTGTTTGATATGACTTTGTACATAAGTAGTGGGAAATATTATTTTAAAGAATACCAACGTTTTTAAAGTGTACGGGTCTCTGGAACACGTAAGCGCTGCCAGAATTCTTTCTTTTTCCACTTGAACCCGTTCTTTCATATACAATTTAAGCATTAGACTGTAAGTCCTTTCTGCACCCACTTTGACTCCTTCACAGTAAGCCAGAGACCGAACTGGGACAGGAACCCTATAATTAACTTTCTGCCTTTATACGCATTAAAAATCTTCTTGCTGTTTCTGGCATTTAGCTGCAAGTCAAGAGCGATAACATCAGTTTGAAAGTAGTGGTTCCGTAAATTCTTTTAATTTCAATCAAATCGTAAATTACATTAAGGACCCCAAGATAATTGAAAGCAAGATTTGAAAAAAACCTGCTGCATTCACTGGCCAGAGCAGTTGTGTTTTGACACGCCTCAACCAAATCCGTTTGGAACAGCTTTTGAAGTCTTTCAGTGCAGTTCAGGTTCCGTATGTTACATAACCGGCGAATGAGACCGATTTCAAGTTCGCTAAAAAGCTTTGAATTCATTAGCAGAACAGAAAGCATTGAACAACGTTCTTCTTTTTTATAAAAATGCAGGTTACAGCTTTGAGTATCCTGTTTACAGACCACTTTGAAGATTGTAATTTATAGTGAGGAAAGAAAACATCAAACAGCACTGGTATTACTATATGAATTTTCAAGCTAAATATCATGGTTCATAAACTGGCTAAAGCAGTATTTTAAAAACAGTTTAAAATAAGAACAGTAACTTGGTTTTGAGAAGAAGAAACAAAAATGTGAAAAAGTCATGCTCCCTGAAACTTTAAAAAAAAACAGTCACTTGCTTTTCAAAGAAAATTTTATCGTCGGTGTATGATATAGATAGCTTTTCCCAGTCAATTTTGCTGTAAATTGGCTCCACCAAGTCTTCGAGGTACTCCTAAAGTAGAAATTTTTAAATGCACTTTGTATTTAATCAACATTTTTAATGTCAACTAGTTCTACTTTTATTAAAGTGATATAGATGAGAAATTGAGATTGTACGAGTAGAGACGCTTGTTGAATAATCAGTAAATGAATTAAAAACTAACCCGAACGTGTCGCACTTGAGGTTCGTCACCAAAGTTGACAAGAATTGTTGAAAAACTGGTTAAGGCCAGAGCCCAAGGTAAGAGTTCTGTTTCCTTTTTAAGGTACTGTGTGACATTTAGAGCAACTTGGTAAGGAAGATGTCCTGCTTCAGCTAATGCAAATGAATCGTCAACAATTCGAGCTCGAGATCTGCTATCGATTGCCTTTAAAACAGCAAATTTTTAATCTATGAGTTACACTTGCTTAGCAGAACAAAAAAAACATGTTTATTAAGTTAGCAATGATAATCCTTCTCGAAAACATCTGCAAAATAGCTAGCCTTACTGTATGGTTTTTCAGTAGTTGCTCAATGATTTTTTCCCAGCACTCCTTATTGTAGTTAACACGATAAAATCCTCGAGATTCACTATTGATAACAAGTAGCTGTTCTCGTTTCACATTTAGACTGACAGCTGAAATATTTGCCATTATTTAACTGTTTTCTTTTAGCTGTTTTGGCAAAAAAAAAGTTACATTTAGACCTTAAGAAGATTGCGGTGTCAACAGCAATTTTTTAATCAGGAATTTATAAAAGTGCAAAAAAAAATAAGAACTTAGATTGGTTGAGTTGCTAGTGCCTAGACTACTTCTTACAGAGATGGTTAACAAGAAACAGCAAGGACATAGACGTGCTACCTTCGTGAAGCCAGGTCATTGGTTTTTCTTCGCCATCTATATTGTACCAAATTGGAATATCGTATTTATACCTGTGAAATTAAAAGTATTAACGTAGAATTTGAAAACGAAGGGTACATTTGAAAGGTTTAGTGTCAAATTAAAATGCAGTTATGCCAACAAGCGTAGCAAACCAAAAAGTACCAGTATTTTGCATTGCGGTACTTTTCCTTTTCTAAAGAGTTGTCGTCCCATTTGAATCTTCTTTGGTGCAGTTCAATCTTGTCTTCGTCAATCCTTCGCATTTCGACCACTGGGTATCCCATCTAAAAAAATTAACCAAAGCAATTGAAATTGATAACTTTTTAACGAAGTTTACAACCTGTTCAGTCCATTTTGACGCAAAATCATCAATGTCAAGCTTATTGCCGTCCCAGCCTGAAATCGTGTCAGGAACGGCTTCGTTTAAGGATTTCCACAAATCTTTATGAACCGCATTGCCGTACTTATGACTTTCCAGATAAACCTTAACATTTTAAACTGCATTCAAAAATCTTAAGAAAAAATTTCTGACAACAACAAAGAATACAGAACTAAATAGTTAAATAAAAAATAAGCGAAAGCTTCAAGAAAATATTTATAAGCTTACATTAAGACCCTTCCTAAAGTTTTCTTGTCCCATAACATTTTGAACCATATTGATTATCGAAGCCCCCTGCAATATAAGCAAATTTTTCTTTTACTTTTTATGTAAACGCGACAATAGTTATTAATCACTTTAAAGTTATCTTTTTTTTTTTAGCAAAGTGGTTTATCAAAATTCTTCTATTCAGATGCAAAGATTGACCAAATTAGAGATGTAATTTATGTCTAGAGTGTGCTAGAAAATACGTCGTTTTTCAGTACGTTTTCTGGTTGTCTTTTTGAATTTTTTTCAATTCGTTGAAATGCAAAACGGCGCTTTTCGCTATATGGTTTTCCTGTGATAAGCAAAAGCTTAATCTATAAAAGTCGGCAAGCAGTTTATTCAACCATTCAGATAATACTTTTTGTAAAATCAGTTCTTGAAATAAGTTAAAAAATTTAAAACTGAAAAACAATAGCTGAAATTCAACTGCTCCTTTAGAGTTACATCTTGATGGCTTGAAAATCAGAAACAGCAGCTGATTTAATTCAGAAATAATGACACGCATTATGAGATAAGATTAGTGAATTTTTTGCAGAGCTAGGGGTACCTTTGCGTAGCGCCATAAAATGAGAGCAATTCGAAGAGCAAGCATAAGAGGTTCTAAGTGGGAACATTTAATTAAAACTGTATAACGAATAGAAAACAGATAAAAATGGTTAATATATAACACCCATTCTTTCACTGAAGTGGTGACACTGAGTTATTAGAAATGATACAGCAGCATTTAAAATGTAAGATTTCCTAGATGATGATGTGACCATTATTGTGGAGAAGTAATGTTAAATTTTAAAGCTTTCAAATGAGAAGTCAAAAGAGATGTATTTAAAATAAAAGTAAGATGCGAAGTAGTTTTTTTACATGAGAACACTCAACTACATTGGTTGAAAATTGCAGAAATAAAGTTGAAAAACTCATCTACAAATCATTCTAATATCGCTCTAAACTTTTCTGCAAACAACTATCTCTTTTTTAAAAGAAATTCAAATGCTTGTTTGTGGTAAACTTCTGAACATTTAGACTGTGTACGAATAATTACAAGAAAGTTTTTACAATTTGACACATTAATTTTCATTAGTAGAATGTCAAAACTGTTATAATGGTGATAAGTATATTGTTATTTCGTAATGCTTATTCTGTTGGAAAACCTTAAACTCAAATACATCCCTAATCGCTCAGAAAACAAACAATAAAAGTAAATACCCTTTATGAAGTTATCTGTTTTTAAAAACACGATAGCCAATAGTAGGTGAAAGCCATAACAGATATTTATAACAGATATTTACAACCCACCTTATCATATGAGATATCATCGAAGGCTTCGCTGACATCTTCAGCTTTGGCGATATTGAATATTAGTGGGTGTGATGATGCTCGAGCATCTCGATGCATTGCATTTTCTACTGCATCAAGAAGGAAGTATTCGTTCTAGAATTAATTTTTGCCAGTAATATATTTTAGATTTCAATTACACTTTTTTTCATTTTCAATGCTTAATATCTTACAATGTCTCTGTATTTTAGAAAAAAACCAAAGTTAAACGAAAAGCTGGAAAAGATGCAATTTAGTTGGAAAGAACAGTCTAACCATTCTAAAGTCGCCTTTGCTGATAGCATCTGCTCCTTTGTACTCCATAAACGTTGCAAAACCTTCATTGAGCCACAGATCATTCCACCATTTCATAGTCACTAGATTTCCAAACCACTAAAGGCTATGAATAAGAAGCGAAGCAATTTTGTGCGCAATAAATTTCAGTGAAAAAAAAGAAAAAGTAGCTCTTCACCAAAACGAAAATAAGCGTACCTGATGAGAAAGCTCATGAGCAATAACAAGAGCCACTCGAACTTTATTGTAGGGAGTATAAAGCTTCTCGTCATAAAGTAGAGCCCTTTCTCGATAAGTAATTAATCCCCAGTTTTCCATCGCACCGGCTGCGAAATCCGGTAATGCTACCAAATCTGTGGAGGAAAATGCAATAGTAAAAAATTTACGTGAGAAAAAAAGTCGCTTGTTAGAACTGTTTACTGCACTGTAGTTCAAAAGTAGAACTGTTAATGATATTTTAGAACAAAAACCTTGTTTTTGTAACGGGAAAGGTATGCCGTAGTAATTTTCATAGAATTCCATAGCTTTAATTCCCGAATCGAGAGCATAACCCGTTTGATTTATGGCCTCTCTACGCGCCCATATTCGGAACTAAAAAAATAATTCTAAATTTAAGTTTATAGCACAGTATAACAATTACAATCAACAATAGAAATATACTTTTTAAATGGCTTTTCCAAAAACGCAAATTTTCAAGCCAGCAAGCAGTTCACAACCGGCAAAGAAAAATTTTGTTTTTAAAAGAAAGGAAATATCAACATCGCGAGTATAATTACAAATATTATACTACTTATGTTTATCTATATCCATACGATTAAAACAGTTGTACTATTTGCTTAAAAGCAAATTGCAATGATTCTTAAAAAATCAGTTTTTCTAATTCTGCCAGGTATGCAGTAACAAAAAAAACGTACCCGAGTTCCCCGTGACGATTTTCCTTCTTTGTACTCAAAGTCAGAAACTAGAACAGCGACAAGGTACGAGGACATCGGCAGCGATTCTTGAAATGAGGTTAATACCCAGTCTGGTTTGTCGCTTAACACATCAACTGTTATTTCATTTGATTATATCTTATACGAAATTGGATTCAAATTTAACAGATTTTTTGAACAAACGTTTGTCATACAAGCTGTTCTGTAACCTTGAGTAGAGAGAACTTTTCCTTCCTCAAATCTTTTGTACTCCAGCTGTAGATAGGAATTTTATCAAAGTTCTGGAAAGTAAAAGAAAGTGACCGATCAAAACTAACGTTGGAACAGCATTTTTGATTTCCAATCCGTTTGATATGGCTCTAGTGCCCTTCGGATGAATAACGCGTATCTTCCACACTGCCTTAAAGTCAGGCTCATCAAAGCAGGGTACCATCCGTCTAGCATCAGTTGGTTCCATCTGAGTGGCTGCCAACAACCTGCAATAACGATCAGCCTCAAAAACTGAACCTTTCTTACGTCAGTGGTAAGCTGAACCTTAAAATGTAAAAGAAAATAAAAGTGATGCCTCCCTAACTGAAGCTACTAAAAAATTACTGCCTGATGAAAAACACCTTTCTTTTCCGTTTTCATCATAATATCTGCTGAGATACAAACCCGCCAACTTTTTATCTATAGGACCAGAATAATATATCTGAAAGATGCAATTTTGAAGTCTTCATTAGTGCAAAAATTTTTGAAAAATGTCAGATATAGTTATTAAACACTTCAAGTATTTTTGCTTCATTAACAGAAATGCTGAACGGCTTACCACAATATAGTATGTTTCGCCCTTTTTTAGAGTGTCGGTTAACTCGAGAGTAACCATTTCGACAGTTTCATTGACAATTACGCTCTTTACCTGCAAATTTTTGATACCTTCTTTTAACAACCAACAAACTAAATTCTCAAAAAATTTAAATCCAGTCGTTTAAGGCTCACTCAGAAAGAGAAGTTGTTGCATGATGAAGTGACATACCTGAGCATGCGCAGCCGTTCGACCCTCTTCTGACTTTTGTCCTTTCTCAGTATCTAATTTCGGGTGTTTTTTTTCGCTTTCTTCTGCCTTAAAACAAATAGTCGTTATAAACGACCAAAAGTAGCACATTTTTATCAAACAGTGCTTTTTTTAAGAAAAAATAATGGTAGAGAGATTATCGTCATCAAAATAAATAGAAAACAACAAAAACCTAATACAGAGATGGAGAGTATGATCAAAAATGTATTACGCATTTAGTTTTCAAAAACTTCTTGAAAACGCTTTTTTGTAATGTATCCTTAAAGTGGTACAGTTCAGTACTTTAAGTTAAAACAGGCACTGTTAGGAACACAGACGTTGTACAAAAGTGAGGATGCTTTTTTTCAATAGAGTTCATCAAAAGAGTTTATTCACTTTTCAAAGCTTTAGAGTGTTCTCTGTCTAGAATGCGCTTTCTCAGTCAAAAGATTATAAAAGCTTCAGAATAGAAAGTAGCGTAGATAATTTTTGCTCGCAGATTAAAGAGTATGAGTAGGGTTTCTGATATTCAACTATGACGAACATTCAAAATTTTAATTTGCAATTATCGTCAAGTTTTCAGTAAGCGAGGGTCATATTATCTGATTTAATGACGTTGAACACATCAGTTCTCGATTTTTCTTCGTTATTTACATTATTGCGTGACAAACGGCTCTAGTAATAGATCTGTTAGGTTTTCAAAAATCATAGCTTTTATTGTCTTCAATACCTTATTGAATGACCAAGTGCAAAATCTTGTTCCTGCAGATAGTTTGAAGAAACATTTTTATTCCACCATAATCCTATCTTTAATCTGCTATCAAAAAGGTGGTTTCTTTTTTTTTTTGGAGTAAAATTTACTACTCCAAATAAGTTGAATCGGTGGAGGATTAAGCCGCTTAAGTGTTCAGTAAACTTTGTCGTCGTATGATAGTCTGTCACTTTCTTTTTTCACTCGTTTAAAAGTTTTCTTAGAGACGAGCTTTTTGTCTTCATTCCAATAGGTTTTGTTTAAAAGATGCTGGTTTACTCTTGCCAGCGCTTCTAATCCGAACAGTTGAAAACAATCAGTTTTTGATTTGTCAGCAGAAGTCAACATATTAGTATTTCACTGTGCTTTAAAAAGAAGCCATTTTTTGTACAGTGAGAACGTTTTTTGAAAAATACGGGAAGACTCATTAAACTAAATCTAATACTGTCACATGTAGAGCAGAATATTGGCAAGCTGAGAAGTGTTAAAAAAAAGTCTATAAAACATAAAACAGTTCTATTAACTTGAACAAGAATAAAAGTGGAGGATGCAATATATTTTGACTAGTACTCTGTTTGTTTTTGACATTTTAAACGTAAAAAAAGAGACTTTGACCTCAAAAATTGCTTCTACTAAGTCAGACAATTTAAAAGGAAAAACTAACCAAAACAGACGCAGATGTCGTAACTTCTTCTTCGTTTCTTTTGTGCAGTGGAATGCCCCTTCTACTTATATTTCCAGATATTTCAGTTTCGTGTCCTTCGTCCTGCTATAAAATTAGTTAACATCTTTATTTATTAGCCCGAAAAAAACAGTAATTAGATTTAAGAGAACTCAGAAACTTCTCAGTCTAAACGGTATAA